ACAAGATACAGAACAGCTTCATTGTAAGGATCCCTTATGGTACTCTTTATAATCATAGCCAACTGTCTCTCTCCTCTCCCCTCCACCCCTGACAACCACTAATCTGTTCTTCTCTATAATTGTGTCATTTCAAGCCTGCTCTATAAATGGAATCACACAGTAGTAACCTTTGGAGATTGGCCCTTTTACATGCTGGTCCCTTTTAATCCACTGCTTCAATCTTTGCAACAGTCTAACACTGTAGGGAAGGTAGAGTGGAATATTCAAGGCTGCATGGCGAGTGAGCCACGGAGGGGGTCCAGGTGTGCCTGATTCTCAGCCTTGGCTTCCCTCTCTCTGGCCTTGACCTTTCTCTGGGTTCTGGGGATTCACATTCTGTTCTTTTACATATACTGCTCTCCTTTTCCTTCCCTTGTATTCAGAATTAGAGTTCTTATGCTTCTTTTTCATTTTCTAAAATTGTAACTTTAAAGAAAGAAGATTGGATCACGTTATTATTTTGGAAGTGCAGGGATGAGTATTTTTCCCTTTCAGCTCTGTTTTGAGCTTATTAGCATTTTCAGAGATTTCTGTGCTGATGCCTCACCATCTTGACACTCGAGCACAAATGATGAGGATGGTTGTGGTATTAGAGGGTCAAGGTAGAGACTATTTATTTTTAATTTATTTTTTGATGTTTTAATTAAATTTTTTTAATGGAGGTACTTGGGATTGAACCCGGGATGCCATGCATGCTAAGCATGCGCTCTACCACTGAGTTATATCCCTCCCCACAAGGTAGATATTCTTGTACACCATTGCTTGAACCCATATATAGGCATCTTTGACTTACAGTGTATCTAAGTGTTGTCTGTACTTGGCCTGCTGGCTTTGGTTGCTGTGGTGCTAAACATACTCCCAGAGCCCTTGGGAATTAACTCACTGCAAACAGGAAGCTGTCAGTGCACATAAGGATGGTGGGAAAGCAAAACATATATTTCTATGAATCACAGTCATGTCAGATGCTGTCTATTTAAGAGAAAACTCCAGAAGTGGAAACAATGAAGCCTTTTGAAATTTCTATGTGGGATGTGGTCTTTAACAAGAGTATGAAACAGTTAGTCTAATGTAGATTTTTGTTGATCCTTGAACCCACCAGACATGCTTCTCTTTCAGGGTCTTTGAACTCACTGTTCCCTCTGCCTGGAAAGCTCTTTCCCAAGATTCCAGGTGGCTCGGCTCCTTCCCTCAACTTTCATCAGGTCCCTGAACAGTGTTCTCTTTTCCCTGTAGACTTCCCTGATATTTACAATCATAATACCACCCCTCCACCAATTCTCCTTACTCGCTTTATTTTCCTCCATCACATTTTGATCAACATCTAACATGCCCTGTGTCTGATTTATGGGACTATACTGTTTTCCCCCATGGTAAAATGTGAGCCTCCCAATCTTTGTCTACTTCATTCATTGCTGTATCCCAGCACCTTAGAATAGTGCCTGGCACATGTTAGATAATAGATATTATTCAAATAAAGAAACGTTTTCAAGAGTAAAGATTTGTTTGAATTAAGTTGTAGGATACAATAGAATAATCATGTCTGCACAGGTCAGCTCTTGGTAAGATGCTCATTTAAAAATGTTGAGTCAGTTTAGTACAAGTGTATACTTTTCCTGCCTATGTAGAACATGTTTCTTGCTTTGACTGTTCTGTTGAGAAAATGATTGACTTTGGGGGAGCTTTTTCAGATGAAAAGGAAATTAACCAGCAGATCTAGGTAATTGAACCTTGCAAACTATCCTGGAAGTGTTTATCCTTCTGCCAAATTGAAGCATGAGTTCAGTGTTTGCACATCCACCTGTGTAATTAGTCACATTAGCACGCCGACATGTATTTGGTGAGTTAACACTCTTCAATTTTGCAATGAAAGTATTTTCACATGTTGGCCGCTACTGTGAAAATTGATTTCTTCCCTCATCCATTCTGGAAGCTTGTGCCACTGTTTTGATTTGGAGGATGTGGTCTAGTGCTGCAGAGCATTTGGAGGAGGATCTGTGATGGAAGTAAACTTTTGGTTTCAGTGTTTCTTTGGGGGGCTGTTTCTCTTACTGCTGGGAATGGAAAGAGAAACAAATATTGCTCTAGGGATACTTTAGGTAATAGATACTCCGGTTGAAAAAATACAATGCTGTCTGTACAACAGTACTGCAGGGTAGGGTGGGATTGGAAGCTGCTGGGCCAGATGAAGGTCTGGCCGCCCTGGGACTATTTTAGTGGTTTGGGGAGCAGTTTGGGGTGTGGCAGCCGTGGGGAGCAGGAAGAGGGATGTACTGTGCCTGGAAAAGGCCTCGTAGGGGAGGACTAGCACCCCCTCTCCCACCAGTGCCTGCAGCATTTCCAGCTCTTTGTGTTGTGGCTGTGTGAGCATTTCACTTGGTCCTATGTGAGTTAAGAATGCCGTGAGAAAATACAAGCACTAATTCAAAAAGATACCCATACCCCAGTGTTCATAGCAGTGTTATTACCGTTGCCAAGCTATGGAAGCAACCTAAAATGTCCATCAACAGATGAATGGATAAAGAGGGTGTAGTATATATACACAACAGAGTGATAGTCAGCCATAAAAAGAGTGAAAATTTTGCCATTTGTGAAAACATGGATGGAAATGGAGGGTTAAACCCTCGGTGAAATATAAAAGGTAGAGAAAGACAAATACTGAATATTTTCACTTATATGTGGAGTCTGAGAAACAAAACAATTATAACAAAACAGAAGCAGACTCACAGATACAAACTAGTGGTTACCAGAGGGAAGAGGGATGGGGAGAGGGGCAAGATAGAGGCTGGGGATGAATTAAGAGGGACAGACTACTAGGTATGAAATAAGTCACAAGGATGTCATGTCTATACATATATAGGGAATATAGTCAGCATTTTATGGTAACTTTGTATAGTATAATCTACAAAGTATTGAATTACTATGTTGTGCATCTGAAACTAATATAATATTAAAGTCAACTAGAGTTCAATTAAAAAAAAATGCCAGGAGGAGAAAGCTTGGAGAGGGAAGAGTTAAGGGAGAGTATTACCGCAGCATGAAAATTATTCATTTTTTGAGACAGGCCCCCACATCTCACACTTCCCTTCATTATCCACAGACGCCCCCAAAGCACCTTTGGTGTACTGGATTCAGACTTTTCTATGTCAGCCGAACATTAAAGAAAATTGTGAGGACAGCCGTGAGGGAAGTGCAGTGAGTTCAACCATTGGCTCTGCCGAAAGCAGGGCATCCTGATGTTCACTCGAGCTGACTGAACACCTTCTGTTTTGTTAGTCAAGTTATTGCCAAATTTAAATAACTAACAGAGGTCAGACACCACTTAATTAATTTCCAAGCATAGTCAGCTAGCTGTGTCCTTGTCCCCAAGGGAAATAAGCTCAGTGGAGTTCCTTAAATCACATTTTTCCCATTTCTTGAAATAATTTCCATTACCCTGTCTAGCAAAAGTAGGCGGCTGCAGAGAGAAGGTTGAGACGGAATTATAAAGCCATTTGGGTTAAATGAGCTCAGTCCATCACTCTTCGAATTCATTGAGCAGACAGCACCTAATAAGCACCAGCTGTCTACAGATCAGTGTTTCCAAAGGAAACCAAAGGTGGGCAGTCAATGTGGGAGACAAAACAGACATGACTTGAGAATCTCACGGAACACCAGATGTGCAAAATGATGTGGTAGAATCAAGAACAGGAGAACTATCTGATAATCTGCACATCTTCCTACTTAAAATGTTTAAATCCCACAGTTCTCACTCCTAAGTGCTCTGTTTGCCCTTCAGAAACAGTTGAAATGTCTAAATGTGGAATTAATGAGCCTTTTGCTTGCCTGCAGCCTTTCTTCACATATATATGAATATCACGGTCCCTTTTCCCAGACTCATGTTTTGATCCAAACTTTGAATCAGCCAAAATACATTGTATGGACCCGTCTGTCATACAGAATGGTACAGTTACTGGTTAATAGTAAGGAATTATAGTGAAGCATTCTTTTAGGAGGGTTTATTTATTTATTTTTCATTTTAGCAAGGAAAAGTTCATGTGGTCCTATTTGCCAGTTATTTTAGCTGAGTTTTAGAAACCCTTACATGATGAGAGTATACATTCTTTCTTTTTTTGCAATAATGTAAGAGTTCAAGGAGCCAGGCTGCTCTGAATTTTTAGGAGTCTCTTTGGCTCAAATGACTAAGTCTGGTGTCCATACAGGGCCTTCTTTGAAGACTGGATTTAAATATTGGGTGGGTCTGTCTTGGACCCTGTTCTGGGGACCACTTGTTGGAAGTCCCAGATGGGAAAGCTCATTATAACCTGATTTTACTCATAAGCACGGCCCCGGGCATTGACACCACTAGAGCAAGGCTTAGTGTCTTGGGTTTTAGTTTTATTCCCAACCTGTGGATCATCCTTATGTAAAGTCTACCTTAACAGTTGAATGTAATGCCGTACTTTGATTAAGTGATTTCAGAAATGACGGCAGCTGCTTCTCAGTGACCCCGATGCTAAGACTCCGGTTTCCACACCGCTTGGCTGCTGCCGTTTTCTGACACCACAGCTGTCTGGGTGTAGCTTCTGCCCCCACCCTCACCCCATCCCATCTGCCATCTCTCACTCACCACTTCCTCACTTGCTTTGCTTCCAGGTGGCGAATTCCCCAATAAGCTGCTGACTTCCCACCCTCAGAGGGGCCAGGTCTTAGGCTGACAGTAGCTGCTTTCACCGGGAGAGCTTTCCTTGGCCGGGGCCCCAGCCTGGGGCTCTGCTGCCTCTGCGGTGCCTGCTTTGTACGGGAGATGTTGCTTCTCCCCCTGGATGTGGAAACTCTTGCAAGAACACTGAAAGGTGCTTTCAGATTCAGCAGCGGTGGCTCCCTCCTCCCACTCACCCCCTTGTTTTGAAAGCTCAGAATCTTCCTGGAAGGTAGGAAGGTTGCAATCAAGGTTTTCGCCATCTTTGAAGGATGCTGCTTACCTTGGATACGCCTTGTCCTGACGGCGGTTCCAGTCTTGGCCTTTTTCCACATGGGGAACGTCCAAAGGGAGCTGTTTTTACCTTGCTGCCTCTCTTAAAGCTTAGCAGACTCTCTCTCCAGTGCTCCCCCAGCAAGCTGTTACAGTAAGCAGAAAAACAAGCACATTAAACTAAGAATCAAATGCCAAATTTCCTGCTCATTGCCAACCTCATTAGGAAACAATGATAAAGTATGTATCCATATAATTACATTATGCATATAACGACACACTTGAAAGCAGCTCCCCCAGGGACCTTCTTAATGTTTTTGTAAGTATGGAATTTCCATTTCAGAATGGGAGTGGGCTGCTTTCAATTGACTTCATCCCCCTTCTTACAGAGGGTAGGAGGGGGAAGGTAAAGGAGAGGAGACCCTTCATTTTGACCACTGTTCCAGGGTTCTAGAAGGGCCAGCAAAGTGTTGAAGCAGATTTTAGGTTCATGAAGCAGGTTTTGTTGAGTACCCTCTGGGTCAAAATTAGAGTGTAATTTAAGGACACAGGACTTGGAATCACCCAGACTCCAGTCGGAATCCTGGTTTAGTCGCTTTCAAGCTGTATGGCCTCTGGTGAATTTAACATTTTAATCTCAGCTTCCTTATCTGGAAAACTGGAAAATGGTGGTGATGCTGACCCATAGGATTATTTTGAGAATTAACCAAGATGATGGACACAAAGCATTTAGCACAGGGCTTGACTCCCTAAGTACTATTTGTTGTTAGTGTCATTATTGATTTCTGCATGGACAGAACATACAATGCATGTTCTGCCTTCTAGAAACTTAGAGCCCACTGGGGACATAAGACACATGGAGAGTTTTAGGAAAGAGAGGAAATATCAGTGCTGTGATGTGGATGGGAGAGAATTTATGGAGGAGCTGGGGATTGGGGCCACCATGTTGCACAACTCCAGGGGCACCATTGTCCTTGTGAGTGGGTCCCTTTGAGTGTTTCAGGTGCATTGGTTGGGATTTTGAATGGGACCATGAAAGATGGGTGGAATTTCCTTTTTTGGGGGGGAGGGGTGGCGGTTGGAGTTAATTAGGTTTGTTTGTTTGTTTGTTTATTTAATGGAGGTACTGGGGATTGAACCCAGCCCATGCTAGGCATGTGCTCTGTCACTTAAGCTACACCTTCCCCCACCAGATGGGTGGAATTTAGATGGAAGAGGGATGAAGGTGGGCTTGGTAGGAATAAACAAGTTTCTTTCGGAGGAGGTGAGACCTCCCAGCTGGCAGGAGACCCTTTTGCACTGAGGCTGAATAGGAAGGCGGTGGGGCCTGAGGGGCTCCAGGGCTTGCCTTCTTTCCAGACAGAAAGCCAGGTGGAGTGAACTGTCTGGTGTGCTGGGTACAGGCCAGGGTGAAATGCCTCTATTCTCTTCATCTTGTCTTCACTGCAGGTCCCCTACATAGGGCTGGGATTGCATACTCCCCTAAAGGCACTTTTCTGTGATAGCCTGATAGCCTTTTAGCCTGGTTAAGCCAATTTACCCAACCAAAACACTCCCTTGTGCTCGCTGCCATTTTTTTTTCTCTTCTCTTCTTTAATATTACTCAGACCTCTTTTTCTTAAATGCCGCATTTGCAATATGTGGAGAGATCAAGATGTCGTGTGGTCTTGGACCCTGATTCAATTTATGTAGCTTTAAATTTCTTTTTAACTTCTCTGTGCAGTCCTCCTCCCACCTTCTTACCTCTATGGAATGTATTCCACTCTTGAAGGGCTCTCAAAAGCTTTAAGTGTGTTGTGGCATAAATTAGGTGGCAAAATATTTTTCTTATCATTAGGCTTCTTTTTTTTTTTTAAGGCATGTCTTTGGTAGATTTCAATTTTGAGGATATAAAAAACCCATAATGACCAGAAGTAAACAGCATATTCGATTAACATAACTTTAGCTCAGTAAATCTTCCAAGTTATTTAAAAAAACCCCACATTTTATTAGATATTAAGTATTACATGATGCTGTAAAGCAGGTTCAGCAAACTTTTCCTATAAAGGGGTCAGATAGCAAATATTTTAGGTTTACAAGTCAATTTTCTGTGGCAAAACTCAACTCTGCCTTTATTGTGCGAAAGCCGCTATGGGTAAGAGATAAATAGATGGATGTGGCTGATTTGCAATAAAACTTTATTTACAAAAATAGATAATGGGCCAGATTTGGCTCTTTGAAGCAGTCTGCTAACCCTGCCCTGAAAGAAAGAGATTTTGTTGGATTGAGAAGTTAAGTGGAAAATTAAAATTAGGTAAGTCACAACCATTTCCAGATAATGAACTCTGCCAAAACTTGAATCCTATTGTTTGGATTAAACTTGATGTTTAATAATGAGTTTGTAAATAAACCCCAAACATCTTCCTCTATAGTTTTTTTTAATCAAAAGTCTAAGGTTCAAAACAAGCCTTTCTTTATTAAACAACATTTTTATATGAGTATTTTCTTTGTACCAGGCACTGTGTAGGTCATTGGAAATTCACAAATAGTTTAGGCACAAACCTTTCCTTGAGGGAGCCACAGTCTAGACAGTGCAACATTGTTGCCAAATGTGGGCCCTGTGCCTTGGACCTCGTGGATACGTGGATATGGATACGTATGGCTCAACATACCAAGGAACCAGCATCATGAAAGAGACTTGTTAGGGGAACATGTCTTTTCTCTCTCTACTGTATATCCATTTGGGACTCTTGTATTTTTGTTTCTCTTTATTTGTGTATTGTTAGGGAAAGCCTGCTCAAAGAATTTACGAGTGGTGAAAATGTTTATTTTAGTAACTGAGTCGCCAGAACTCTCAATCGTGATGATTCAAGAGGTTATGTATTTTCCTGCTCTTTGTAGTTTTTACTCAGTCAACTTAATTCATGTTTTGAATTTCTGTCAGCTTTCCTTACCAAGATACAGACCAGCCCCCTGCCAGATTGCAGAGGGTAATATTCTAATAGTGACGAAATACACAGGTATAAAAAAAATTGTCCTGTCTCTGGTCGCCTTCCCAGAGTGTTCTTTGGACCTGAGCCATTCTGGCCTTTGCAGACTGGGTGGAGTTGTTGAGCAGTTCACGAGGAGAAGGCTCCAAAGTCCAAGTGGGTGTGGGATATGGAGTTCTCAGACCCCAAGTGAGGGGCCCGTGGAGCACTTCGAGATTGGACAGGGACCTGAAATTGACATGAGATGGAGTAGAGGAGGGAGGGAAGGTTGTTCTCTAAGTAGGGGAATGGCATGGGAAGGTGTGGCTTTTGAGGGGTTGTTTGTTTCATCGACAAAATGCAAGAGGCAGGTGGAAAGAGGGAGCAGACGTGGCTTTAAGATGAGAAAGACCTGGGCTCAGGTGACTTTGGAAAAGGCTTTGGAAGAAAGGCGGCTTTCATCTCTTTCTACTTTACATAATTAAAAAAAAATCCCAGGGAACTACCTTAGTAGATTTCATGAGGTGAGAGGAAGCACTTGGGGTTGAGGGAAGAAAATTAAAGAAAAAAAAAAAGAAATAGATACATTTTGACAAATACAGTTGGCAGAGTATGTCAGTGGTGAAAATACAATGGAGTGAATATAAAAATTTATCAGTGGCAGCCATTTATATATTCCCCTAAAAAGCAGAGTAAAGGCCATTGTTTGTTTTGGTGAAATAGTGGCTTGCTTTGAAGTAGAGGGCAATTCTACTTTGTCTCTTTGGGGTCATGAAGGGTCAGGTGCTGGGAATAAGCTGGGCTCAGACTGTGGCATTTAAGGATGCCAAGGAATGTCTGTGTAAGGCTTTAAACATATATAGATGTAGAAGAAAAGCAGCATGCCTATCTAAAGTATTTTAGAAATGGAAAACACAAATAATGTATTTCAAAGGCACAATTTCCACAAATATATAACAATCGATAGAGAAGAGTGTGATCTTCTCTGCTTCTGGTGGCATGAATTGAATCACTCTATTCCAGGTGGGATGAAATCTAGGTTTAAATCTATTGTTGTTAGTATTTTGATACTTTTCCCTTCAATAAGCGAATCGCTTACTTTTTTCTGTCTGGATTACCTTGGAATTAAAGTCCTGAGATAGAAAACTATGGCTTATA